CGCAACGGATTTTGATGCGGTTTTTTTTAATAGATAGAGTGATTCTTAAGGAAGGTTTGTATGTATAATACATGCATATTGCACCCGTGCGAAGCCGGGGCGGGTCACTAGTAATATATAAAAATGAAACCCGTTTCCCGTTGTCACGCCATAGCTTGAGAATGGCTAGACCGATTTGGATGATGTATTTTTTTGTTGTGTTTGTTATTGTCAGGAGAACGTTCATATGACAGAAAATATCCTGAAAATCCTACGGGAACGGGAGAAAACGGGATTGCGCGTACGAATTCGCGGGCAGAAGCTAGTAATCTATAATAAATCAAGTTTCATGTTATTAGTTAGCATCATCACGGTTTTAGTAAACGTCACCATGGTTTTATGCAGGGAGAGACACATCCAATGACTTCTCCCGTCTGTGTGAGGCGAGAGGGAGTTTCAGACTCTTAGTGACTAAAAACCACCCCGTTCCTTCTCCTGCACATCCAGCCGGAGCCCCAGTTACCCGTTAGGTTCTCCGCGACATACTTAAAGGTACCTTAGGCTTGAAACTTTTCATTTGATCTAAGCAAATACCGACACGGTACTATTAATATAAAGTTATTTATTTCATTAAAACACCATAATCGTCCGAAAAGTCGCAAGCAACCATGTTGTATATAGAAATACACCAGAACAAACACTAGGGTTGACTCGATCGCCGGCAACTAGTTGCGCAACCAAGTTGACATCTGGGTGCTTACTCTTGAAACCAATCTCAATGTCAATGCAATTCCGATCCAATAAAATCTCAATAATTATTTAATGTCAAAACTATACAACCACAATATTAGCTGTTAAAATAGCATTCAGAGTACGGAATATAAAGCCAAACTCAAAACCGTTTAGTTCATTTAATATCCACGCAATACGGATGCAATGGGCGCTAGTGTTCAACTCAAGAGTACGAAATTTCACAATACCAATATCGATCGATGGGAATTGGATTCAAGAGTAAACCCTCAGGGCTACTGTCTATATAAATGTATTATATTGGTTGGGCGATCTGTTCGTACGATTATAGTATCTTAAATGAAATAATGTTTTAAAATAGATACATCTAAGGATACCGGCATATAATAAAAATATACTAAAATGGGAAAATTTCGTCAATACAATTTCAGCTTTATCACAAAGATATAAAGTTTAAGAAACAATGAAAGAAATTTCACTACTCAGTATACTTTGATTTTCTACCGTGTACAATTCTACATATTACTACAAGTTATCAATAGACAGATATGTTTGTTTGTCTAGAAAAATGGTATTTAAAATTTGTATAGTGAACATTGGCTATAATTATTATTAATGGAAGGTGTTCATTATATTAAACGAGGAATGTAATCAAACACATAGTTCAAGATTACATAGAACTAATCTAAACATATAGATTTTCAAAAAACCTTAACAGTTTACTATTTACAAAATTAAACTAGTAAATAGCTAGAAATCAACAAGAAGTTACTTTAACTAAAATAACTTTAGTATTTAATCGTTATCGTTATCGTTACTAATATTATAAATCGGAAAGTGAGTTTGTTTGTTTGTTTGTTCCGCTTTCACGCCGTAACTACTAAACCGATTGCTTTGAATTTTTGCAGACATAAAGTTAGTAGTCCGGAATGAATAATAGGGTACTCTTTATCCCGGAAAAATTTGATATTCCCGAGCGAAAACAAAATTATTGGTATAGATGGCGCTGTGTGTATTGGTATATGTCACATAGGCTACTTTTTATCCTTTTGTGACGCTAGCGAAGCCGCGGGTAAAAGCTAGTAATAAATAATGAAATACATTTGGAATAAATGCCAATGTTTCAAGCCTCTTATATGCACTATCTGACAGATAAAACTCTTACGACCGATTTTTCTAACGCCAGATAAATTTGAACTGAAGAATAACTTTGAATATTTGACAATTGTTCCATACTGAAAACTGTCAAATGTCAATTTTATTCTACTAAGAATTAACTGATGATTGTAATCCGGCCCGAAATTTACTAAAATTTTCAAATGGCAAGATCGATGTGGTATTTTTGAAACAAACCATTATGCCTCGCGCCTCGTATCTACTTGGCAATATATGTCGCGCCACATGTTGCACCACATTGTTGCTCAACATGTCTGTCAATAGAACAGATTGTCCAATATTTTTGTTTTATAATAATCCTTGCCCCACTCTAGAATTTTGTCTTGTGTCGTAGGTGCGTTTACAAACATACAAGTTCACATACGCATGACACCCAGACCTCTGTCAAATACCGAGCGGTCACCGGTAACCGCAACCTATTGTTCTTTAATTGTGTCTATAATGACGGTACTCAAAGAGCTGGAACAACAATCTGTGTTCAAATATAGAGTTGTTCTGTACGAGAATCACTAGAAAGAAAGAGAAATTTGACTGCACGATTGGTGCGGTGGTTGGGTAACTGGCTGTCGCGCAACGTGTCGCGGGTTCGATTCCCGTACGGAACAACTCTTTGTGTGATCCACGGATTGTTGTTCCGGGTCTAGGTGCCATGTGTATGTGAACTTGTATACTTGTAAACGCACCCACGACACAGGAGAAAAGCCTAGTGTGGGGCAACGTTTAAAAAAATAGAATACTATAATACCTCCCTGACTAACAAGCATTTGCGTGTAATGTAACATATAGATTCGACTTTGAGCATTTCATAGCAAGATGTCAGACATTGATGTTACAAGTTGTATCAAGATATTACACATTGTGTCATTGTTGTGATGTGGGGCAACGTTTTTTTTTTAAAAAAAAGAAAAGTATCGAGCCCGCGATACATTACGCGGCAGCCAGTTGCCGTGCAGTCAAAACTCATTGGTGCTCAACAAGTCTGTCAACAGAACAGGTTGTCCAATGTTGCGAAACTTTGCCATTTGTTGCCTAGTGGACACGAGGCATTTAGATGTAAGATTGAAATAAATCATGGTCTTTGATTGGGTAACATCATTTTTCTTTTTAAATATTTAAAAGTTATTCTGTTTTTAAATGGAAAATACTTCAATAAATATCACGAAAATTTGTCCAGTCGTTTCTGAATAACAATCACAAATAATGTAAGAACAAATTACAACTTTTTAAATCTTATCCGGTAGACTGAGTTTATAAAATTTTTATAGTCTTTTTAAATAATAAAATAACTCCAAATACGTACATTTTGTACCTTTATAACAACTTATTATAAAAAAAACAATTAACTTCACTATAATTTGGAATGCTTAGCCAACACATTATTAAACACCTATAGTTTTTATAAATTAACAACAATTAAAATAATTTAATTTTGAAACGAAGGGCTTTATTTCATTAAAACACCATAGTCGCCCGACCAGTTGCGCAACCATAGTGTCTGAAAATAGACTCAGGGGTTGACTCAGTCGCCGGCAACAAGTTGCACAACCAAGTAGCTACCAGGTTGGAACATCTTTCTAATGTTTTCTACAGAGAGACATCAGATCTAAGAGTAAGATAGACTCCGTCGCCGGCAACAAGTTGCACAACCAAGTAGCTACCAGGTTGGAACGCCTTTCTAATATTATCTGTCTACAGAGAGACACCAGAACTAACACTAAGATAGACTCAGTCGCCGGCAACAAGTTGCACAACCAAGTACCCTTGAAAAGCCTTTCTAATGTTGTCTACAAAGAGACACAACAGAACTAACAGTAAGATAGACTCGGTCGCCGGCAACAAGTTGCGCAACCAAGTAGCTACCACGTTGGAACGCCTTTCTAATGTTGTCTACAAAGAGACACAACAGAACTAACAGTAAGATAGACTCGGTCGCCGGCAACAAATTGCGCAACCAAGTAGCTACCAGGTTGGAACGCCTTTCTAATATTATCTGTCTACAGAGAGACACCAGAACTAACACTAAGATAGACTCAGTCGCCGGCAACAAGTTGCACTACCAAGTACCCAATAGGTTGAAAAGCCTTTCTAATGTTGTCTACAGAGAGACATTAGAACTAACACTCAGATAGACTCGGTAGCCGGCAACAAGTTCCAAAATCAAGTAGCCACTAGGTTGGAACACCTTTCTAATGTTGTCTACAGAGAGACACAACAGAACTAACAGTAAGATAGACTAGGTCGCCGGCAACAAGTTGCACAACCAAGTAGCTACCAGGTTGGAACGCCTTTCTAATCTTGTCTACAAAGAGACTCAACAGAACTAACACTAATATAGACTCGGTCGCCGGCAACAAGTTGAGCAACCATATAAACACCAGGTTAAAACTGTACATTTCATTGGTTTCACGACCTGGTCGTATGATTATAATGTCTTTATGAAATGAGAGCTATTTCGCACTGTCGACTAGTCGCCAGCGTCTGCAATTTACTAGTTTCAATAGGTATTTACGCACTTGGTCGCTGGTCGCTCGCCTATATCTCGGTCGTTGGGGGACTGAGTCGCTGGCGACTAGTCGACAATGCATAATGGCTCTAAGGCTATTGATAAAGATATCTATTTATAAAGAAGAATATTTTTTTAAATTACTACTACATTATTATAAGTTAATATAATTAGAACTACAGTCAGCCAAGTCATTCAGTATGTAGGTAACGAAATAAAGATTCGATTCAGTACAGAGACAGTAAGCATTGGTTGTCTAGAGCCGACCAATGGCTACAAAAGATATGGCTTCGGTACGAAGCATACAGTTAGGTAATTGACAACTAGTCAAATTCAATACTTTTTTTCGAACTGTCAAAAACGACAGTTTTCTATGAATTTTGTACGAGATTGTGTATTGTGACGTCACGTTTTTTAGCGTCAAACAGTATGCTTATTTTTTAAAAATATACTGGAAATCTACTAAAATTAAGTTGGTCACAAAATCAATTAATGAAAGTGTGATTATTTTTTAATATTTCATTGTATTGAACAGTCGAAATAATTTATTTTTGATTAAGGTAAGTACCCAATATAGTATAACAATAGCTACTATCTCTGTACTGAATCGTATCTTTATTTTCTTACCTAAATACTGAATGACTTGGCTGACTGTCTATTTTGAAATAGAAAGAGAGAGGTGTGTGCTTTGTATAGCGTTGTCTCTTTCACTCATTCCTGAAGGGGGTAGGCAGAGGTGTATAATTTTGTTGACGTTTGACTATGTAATGCCCATTTTTCACCAACGATTCCTAAATTTTAAGGAACCCCTAAGCTAGGTGAGGTGACCTTCAACGACATTTCGGTTTTCACCTACCTATAAAAAACACCTAACAGTGTAAGTAAGTGGTTAGTTTAGGTGTTACGCCACGCTAAGTGGCTTTTAGTTAAGAGTTGGTTTAGAAGTAGTTGGTGCCACCAACTGGTGGAAACGTTCATAAAACATCTAATAGTAAATGTGACTACCGGGCATGAGGTTTCAGGTTCAATTCTCAGGTCGAACAAAGCATTAAAACTTTGAATTTCCAAAAATTTTATCAAAATCACGTCTTGTTAAACTGCACCCATCTTTTCCAGGACATAAACTAAAAAAAAACCTGAATTTAAGGTGCGAAAGAGACAACACCGCACTCTTTCACACTCTCTCCTTCCACTCCAAAACTTAAAATACTTAAAAACCAGACCTACCCATATTTAGATCCACTTATCATCCTTTTTCGTTCCCAAAAGGGGCGTGGCTTCTTCTTTGATCTCCTTCACAGGACTATCTGGTTTGCCGTTGAAATATTTGGCTGAATTCACGCAAGATACGATGTACGGAACCCCGGCTAGGTCGGATGAAAGCGGGTTGTAGTATTGACGGTAGCAGAATATCGCCACGCTGAACCCTAAAACTGAACCCACCAGGATATCTGTAAAGAAAAAAAAGCATCAAAATCAAAGTCAACGTTAAAACATTTATTACAATAGGCGTGTCGACAGGGTAAAAAAATCAAAAAAGTAATTAGTCCGTCATTAAGATCGCACGAAAATATCAGACACGTATTTTTTGTTTTATCAAATTAACAGAAGAATACGTAGTTATTCCGCATTAAAGTTAGGGAGTGGGGGGTGTTGACGTCACACTTACGGAGAAATCGTACCTAATGACTAATTTAGATGATGTAATAAAAAATAAATTATAATTGTAATTAATATTTTCTTGTGACGAATTTAAATAATGTAATAAATAATTATTTATAATTGTAATTAATACTTTCTTATGACTAATTTAAATAATGTAATAAATAATAAATTGTAATTGTAATTAATACTTTCTTATGACTAATTTAAATAATGTAATAAATAATGAATTGTAATAGTAATTTTCACAATATTGCATGCTAAATAAGATTTCTTTTATTTATGGAATACTAGCGACCCGCCCCGGCTTCGCACGGGTGCAATATGCATGATATAAACCTTCCTTAAGAATCACTCTATCTATTAAAAAAACCGCATCAAAATCCGTTGCGTAGTTTTAAAGATCTAAGCATACATACGGACATACAGCGAAAGCGACTTTGTTTTATACTATGTATTGATTGAAGCCGGTTAACGAGCAGATGGATTAGCTGATGGTAAGCAATTGGTGTCGTCTATGGATACCCTGGAACGCCAAGGGCGTTACAATTGTGTCAGTGAAGGTAGGTGCTCATTTCAAAATATAGATTCGGATGGAGAAGAACGAAATTATATAAAGCGGAAGAGTTTGTTTTTTTTGTTTGTGCTAAATCGTTACTACAAGTCTGATTTGAATAATTCTTTATGTGTTGGATAGCGCATTTATCGAGGATGGCTATAGGCTATAAAACATCACGCTACGACCAATAGGACCTGAGCAGAGCGTGTGACACCGCGCGGAAGTAGCTAGTCTCTTAATATGTAAGTGGTGTAAGTGGGTAGGCAGAGACTATGGAACGCCAATTACAATGATCGATACTGAATTCTTTTGCTTTATCAATAGTCATCAGTCTTTTCATGCATGCTCGTCTGTTAACAGACCTATACAGCAGACAGTCCCATTGGCGACCACTCGGCCAACGAGTGTTTATAACCATTGAGGCAATAAGCCAAAAAAATTATTAG